TAATCAATAATAATTGACCTTTCACCAGTTTCTATCGTTTGTTTTATTTCTTTTTGTTCCCCACTATCTGGATCGGTCATTGTAATTGTTTTTGTTATAGTATCAGCTTTATCTTTAACTTCAATCTTTTTTCCATCAGGATATTTAAACCAAAATTCCAAAAATTCGATATTGTCAATCTGTTCATATTTTAATCTATCAATTACATTTTTAATACCATCTGAAAATCTTATGAAATGGTCATTATATGGGTTTGATTGAACTAAATTTGAATGAAGTGAAATATAACCGATGATGAATATGACATCGACTCATATTTTCTGAAAACACTAAAATTTATAACATGAATGAATTTCTTATTCGTTGAATTTATGAATTCTTGAGGTAATCTTATTCTAGTTTTATTTATCACTGGAAAATAACGCTTTACCATATTTTTAATCGTAATAAAAATGTCAATTATCAATATTATTTCGAATAATAACTGTGAATTAAATTTAACAGTTAGCGGAATTTATAATGTTACTCTCGTTTCTGTGAGTGGTAAATTTAATCCCATTCTTTTAGACCCTTCAGATTATATATCATTTATTAAAGATGACCATGAAAAAACGTATGATATGTATATAAATAATGTGATAGCGAAATGGGATATTAACATGATTTTAAGTTATTTAAATGAATCATTTATCGTATGGTATGAAGAAAATTTTAAATCAAAACCTGATAAACTTTTTGAACTTGATGAAATAAATAACCTTATTAAATTTCCGCTGAAAATTAAATTTTGTACTCCTCATCTTCGTTCATTGTTGGGGATATTAAATTTTGAAAAAGATGTTGGGGATGTTTTGTATTCTGACACTGGTTCCAATTTCATTTTAATCAAATGTGATAAAGTTAATACCCCAATGAGATTTTCACATCAAACATTAGACCCTAACTCTTACCCATCAATACAAAACATTTTATCCATCAACTTAAACACATTTTCTTTATCATATCCGTTTCAATTATCCGGGAATTCATTTATTCTTCATTCAAAAGATTTATCAAATATTAAATTTAGAGTAACTGACCTATTTGATTGTGATTTAGAATTCATGAATGAAATATTATGGCAATTTCAAATAGAAAAAATAGGTGATGAGATAACGGATTAAATATTTATTTTTAAATCATAATAAATGATTAAACAACAGCAACCACAACAACTTAAGGCACAAAGCACCCAGGTCCCTCAGACCATTACATACGCCATATATGCATATAATTCAAAGACGGCAGAACAAACGCAAAGGTTGAAATATGGAGATTTGGAGATAGTATTGAAAAATGACCATTTCGAATTCGTTTGCAAAGGTGGTGCAGTGATATCAAATATAAAAGAAATTTTATTTATGAATTCAAAAATTAAAGGAATAACGGATGATATAACATCAATTCCACCAGAAGAACAGAGATATTACGCATTAAATGCATTTCCTAAAGTTTTGAAGATTGGAAGATTTAATTTAAATGAGGAATTCATAAAAGGTTTCCTAAATGACATAATGAAGAAAGCGGATAAGGAATGTGTTGCTGCTGCGTTAGAGAAGAAAGCGGATAAGGAATATGTTGCTGCTGCGTTAGAGAAGAAAGCGGATAAGGAATATGTTAACGAAAAAGATAATGAAATTAAAGAAATGGTTGAATGGTATCATGAATGGACATCAAAGATTTTAAAAACTAAAGCTGATACAGGATGGGTTTCAGGATGTTTAGACCTTAAAGCGGATAAGGAATGTGTTGCTGCTGCGTTAGAGAAGAAAGCGGATAAGGAATGTGTGGATAGTGAGTTAATGAAGAAAGCTAATATATCATTTGTTAATGAAGAAATAAAACAATCAGAGGTCTATTTTACTCCGCCATTTTTAAATTTTATGAAATCATCAGATAAAACCTTTGATATAGATTCTTTTGAATGGATATGTTTCGATGGAGTGACCATGTATTTATTTTATACAGCTGGAGTGCTTTATTATTTTAAAACAAATGATTTTAAAAACTATGAATCATTTACTCCATCTGTTTTGAATCCTGATACACGAAAGCCAATCATTAATCCAATAATTTTATATGTTGAATATAATAACGGTAAATTTATGGGAATGATAACGGTTGAAGATGATTTTTGCCCTTGTTATTCATTCGATTGTATCCAATGGTTCAAATGTAATTTAAATCAAGATGCTAAATTTAAATATCCAAATAATCCTATTAGATGTGTTAATAATAAATGGGTACTAATTTATGAAGTCAATCAAATTTTCATTAGTGAGGATGGGATAAATTATTATATGTTTAGTATGATGTCATCAGATTTGAAAATTGATTATACAAGTAAGTGGTATTACATTAACAACATGTATTTTATCCTACAAAATGATAAAATTTATAGATCATCTTCAATATCACAAGGTCAATTTGAACAAATTTTTCAAGCTGATGGAGACATTGAAGCTTTATGTTATGGATCAAATGTTTATGTTCTCGTTTCAGGTGAAATGGTCTATTCATATCCTGTAAGTTATAACAGACATATTTATTTATCACAGGATTTATCAAATTGGGAATTGGTTTATTCATTCACTCCAAAATTTACTCAAAATTATAGATTTACAAATTTATTTTATATTGATGGGTATTTCATTGCTTTAGGATGTGGTGATTTAGTAAATATCAGTAGTGATGGAAGAAACTGGTCTGAAATCACAAAATTTCAAGATGTTAGAAAAGCAATTTTCAAAAATAATACGTTAATATTGATAACAAGACCAGTTTTAAATACTCACCCAAATTCAATATTATATAATAAATTCAATATTCATAATGGATTAAATACAATTCTTGAGATGATTTACCCCATTGGTTCTATTTATACGTCAATGAACTCAACAAATCCTTCAAAAGTTTTAGGTTTTGGTGCGTGGGAACAGATTGTAGATAAATTCCTCTATTGTGCGAACTCTTCAAAGCAAACAGGAGGTTCGAAGAAAATTACTGAAGCAAACCTTCCACCGCACACTCATACAGGAACTACAAACACAACAGGTAATCATTCACATTCAATAACAAAAAGAGGTTATAGAAATCTTGCAGCAGGTTCGGATAGACAGGGAATGGATAGATATGATATTTCAAGCGACCCAGTAGATTCAAGCGCAGGTATTTTCTGTGGAACCACAGGAAATCATTCACACACTTTCACAACAAATCCAACAGGCTTGGGTGAAGATTATATGCCTCCATTTATGACTGTATTCGCATGGTACCGCATTTATTGAATGAACTAAATATATTTTATGTCTGTAATTAATTAGGTAATGAAGTAATGGATGAACTACAGAAATAAATGTTTACGTTAATGTTTACGTTAATGTTTATGTTAATGTTTACGTTAATGTTTTCAGGTTATTCAATAATTAATTATTTTTGAAGAACTGAAGGTGTCACTATGTCACCATGTGTCACTCGGTTAATTAACTTCTCTGAAAAAATGAGACAACATGACATTTAGACAACAGTCCTGGAAATAAATTTTATCGTTAATGTTTACGTTAATGGTTTCAGGTTATTCAATAATTAATTATTTTTGAAGAACTGAAGGTGTCACTATGTCACCATGTGTCACTCGGTTAATTAACTTCTCTGAAAAAATGAGACAACATGACATTTTGACAACAGTCCTGGAAATAAATTTTATCGTTAATGTTTACGTTAATGGTTTCAGGTTATTCAATAATTAATTATTTTTGAAGAACTGAAGGTGTCACTATGTCACCATGTGTCACTCGGTTAATTAACTTCTCTGAAAAAATGAGACAACATGACATTTTGACAACAGTCCTGGAAATAAATTTTATCGTTAATGTTTATGTTAATGTTTTCAGGTCATTCAATAATTAATTATTTTTGAAGAACTGAAGGTGTCACTACGTCACCATGTGTCACTCGGTTAATTAACTTCTCTGAAAAAATGAGACAACATGACATTTAGACAACATTTACGAAAATTTGATGCAGTCCAAAAATAAAGTTAGTTTTAAAATTATTTTTATTTTTTTATTCCTATATAAATGACAGCAACAAACAACAACAACTATATCGTTTCTGATGAAAAAGTTATTGATTCATTAGCTGAGGAATTAGTTGTGGCAGAAACTAAAACCCTCAACGAAAGAATTGGTGAAAACAAGATTGATTTACATAACTACCTCAAACATGATGGAGGAAGAGGAAGGAAAACTGGTACAGCTTTATTAGTAAATAAAATTTCAAATTTAACGATTATAGATGTTGATATCAATAAATCGTACAATGATGAACTTAAAGAAACAGTTAGAAAAGACATTTTATCAAAACTTTCGGATAAAGATGTTATCGTTAAAACCGCTTCAGGAGGTCTTCACATTTATTGCAACACTAATTTCTTCTATGCAGTTTCGAACAGAATGATTAAATGTTATTCCTGCAATGATTATGATATTGACATAATGACTTCTATTGATGATTCAAAGCGTTCATTAGTAGTTATGGCTGATTCAAGAGTTCGCAAGAATGCATCAGAACCAATCAATACATACTCATTCATTCGTGGAAGTTATGATTCAACATTAACCAGAACAGTGAATGATATATTAAATGATTTGAATATTAAGGTAAGAGTTGAACAGAAGAACGAAGAAATAAAGAATATCATGAATGAAAACAAAGATGTAAACATTGACGATAAACTTGCCCAGAGCATAGTTGATGGCATCTGTGATTTTGAAGTACATAATGACGGTGGAAACATGAATTTAGAAAAAGAAGTTACATTATTCACACTGTTTCAAGCAATTAATTCGTTACCTAATCATTTAATTAATGAAGCATACGATAACGTTTATAACTTCTGCAGTTTAACAGAAAATGCAAAAAGTAATTTTGAAAAAGCACGTAGTAGATATGCACATTTAATGACTTCTCCATTTGTTTTGGTGAAGATTCTAAAACTATATCAAAAGGAATATTATGATGAATACGTTTTGCCTTTATTACGTAAGCCAAAAATAACATTTGATATCAAACTTGATGACTCGTTTTTGATAACAGATATTAGACGCAAGGCTGAAAATCATCAGTATAAAAACAGTTCTGAAGTAATTGAGGATTTATCACGTGTAATCCGTTTTGTAGATTGTGGAAATAAATATTTCATTCAAAAGGACTATAATATCCACGACAAAATGAATCAAATATCATTTGTTCTTCAGTCAAACATGAAAGAGTCACTTAAAATGATTAAATTATTTAAAGAAGAAGGTAAAACAATAACAGCATGGGATGTACTACTAAATCAATTATCCTCATTAACCGTTAAGGGTGTTTGCTTTAAATCTGATTCTCCAGATGTTTTCTCAACGTTTCAGGGTTATAAATACAACATTCTCGAAAAACCAGATTACTCAAAAATTGAGATGTTTATGAATTTCATTAAAGAAGCCATTTGTGATAATAACGATGAAGTGTATAAATACCTTCTCGGCTGGATTGCATCAATGATTCAACATCCTGGAATCAAGAATGAAACAGCAATTATTTTGAAAGGACTTCAGGGAACAGGTAAAAACAGATTTACAGATATTATTTCTGAACTTCTCGCTGGTTATTCATGTAAAAACATTACTGAAATAAGTGAGCTAACGGGTAATTTCAACTCAGTAGTTGAAAATAAAATGTTTCTTGTACTTAATGAACTCAAGAATGTAGGTGAAGACAGACTTGCAAACTTCAACGCTTTGAAATCAATTATTACGGATAATGAGATTAGAATTAATGAAAAGAATCAACCCAGAAGAACAGCACAGAACGTTGCAAACTTCATTTTCGTAACTAACAACGTCTACCCTGTCAAAATTGAAGTTGGAGACAGAAGATACGTAGTTTTAAGGGTTAATGGTAAATTCAAGGGTCAATTTGATTACTTCAAGAATTTAATGGATTCATGCACTAAGGAATTTTATGATAACCTTTTAACATATTTTATGCAATATGACCTTTCATCATTTAATGTACGAATCATTCCGATGACTGAAGCCAAACAAGATTTAATCGAGTTATCAACAAATCCTTTAGATGTATGGATAAATACACATTATGATGAATTGAGTGCAGGTATGACATGTAAAAAAGCTCTATTCTGCAAACCATCAGACATGAAAGACAAGAATTTCCAAATGAGCATTAAGGATAAATGTGATAAGAAACAGGTAAGAATAGATGGTAAACAAACATGGTGTTATGTTTTGAAAGAAGAAATGAAAGGATTATATAAACAGGTTGAACCAAACGATAATGAGGATTCATTTACTGACGATGAAATACCTGTAAATGAAGCTTTATAAAGTATGATTGGAATTTATTTTTGCCTTCCTCATTAATCCTGTGATGTTGTCTAAATGTCATGTTGTCTCATTTTTTCAGAGAAGTTAAATAACCGAGTGACACATGGTGACGTAGTGACACCTTCAGTTCTTCAAAAATAATTCATAAATGCCTTCCTCATTAATCCTGTGATGTTGTCTAAATGTCATGTTGTCTCATTTTTTCAGAGAAGTTAAATAACCGAGTGACACATGGTGACGTAGTGACACCTTCAGTTCTTCAAAAATAATTCATTATTGAATAACCTGAAACCATTAATGAAAACATTATTTTTGGGTCATTTACACTCATTACGATGAAGTCATGACAAATCATTTCCGGGACTGTTGTCAAAATGTCATGTTGTCACAAACTTTAGAACGGCATAATTTAAATTTTTATTTTTATCATAAATGAATACCCCACAAGCTCAAAATTTACCACGAATCATAACAAGGGAGGAAACGATAAAAATGATGCGAGAACTTGCTAAAAATAACAAACCACTAAAATTGAGAAAATGTGGTTATGCAGTAATGATGGAAAGAGAGATGTTGTCAAAGAGGAATAAAAATTAAATTTGGATTGAGTTTAAAAATTCATCTTTATTAAATTCATCTCTTCCAATCAATTTATTTATTCTATTAAATTCTTTTATTTTTGCTTCACTCAGTTTAAGGATTGAACGGTAAGTTTCTAATTTTTCGATTATTTCTTCATCGTTTTCAGCTCCACCGCATTGTGGCTTCTTTTTGTAATAGCATATTTTTGATTTAATTCTGTTTAGTTTCTTTATATATTCATCGTCTGGACTCTTGACTGCTTTGTTGTCACTCATTTCTTACAAAATAAAAAAAATTAAATATTATTTAAATATAATGGAGTAATAAAATAAATCGGAATTTCTATTAATTTATTGTCAACTTCAACTAATGCATTGCCGTTAATATATCTAACAAATTCAGCTATTGTGTCAAATCTTCGTCTTCTTTTTGTCATTGATTTATCAGTTTTTCCATAATCGAGATGAATCAAAACTTTATCCCCTTGTTTAAAATTCATGAGCCCCGAATTAATTTGTTCACGTTTAACATCATTTAACCTTTCCATTTGCTTTCTAATATATTCCCATTCTTTTGAAATATCATTTTTCATTTCCACCGGTTTCATGTTTATAGTTCTATGCCATGTATTATTGTAATAATATACTAACTGCTGTATGATGGAGTCATGATTTCCATCCCAGTATATCTGACCGTTAACCCCTAACGCATCTCTAAGAGTTCTCATTACCGCATCAACTATTTTATTATGAAACGTATATGGAGAGGATGAAAAGTAAAAATTAATTTGTGGGAAATAATGAGTCATAGCTGCCTGAAATCCTTTATCACCATCACCCCTGATATTATCTACTCTTTCATGATCTAGTAAGTATTGTATAGCTCTTCTTGTTTCCTGTTCTGTTTTCCCTTTCACCGGAATGCAATATAAATATCTAGTGTTAATGTTAATGGCAAATAAATAAGTAACGTTTCCTTTTGAATATTCCAGATGATCGATTTCGTATGAATATGGATATGGAGCAAATGAAGGTCGACTAAATTTTTCCTTTAATGGTTGAATTTTCGGGTCAATTGGTTTATTTAATATCTTGAAATCCTTTTTAAAATCTTTTTGTTTCTTTAATGTTTGAAATGGATATAATAAAGTGAATGATGAAGGATTAACTGAAGGAGGAGGTACTACTGTTGGAGGTTTTGGTGTTGTAAGTGGTTTAATTTTATCTGCTTTGATTTTGGATTTCATTCCTTCCTTCATTAATTCTGGATGTATTCTATTCATTTGTTTTAAATATGCTGTATATAAAGGTTTGATATACTTTCCCGCTTCGAGTTTATGTTGAAGGATGAATTCCAAAAGTTGATCTTCATTTAAAAGTCGGGCTGAATATGGTTTAACTAATGAATCATAAATTAAAGCTTGTGCATCATTTATGGTCTGAAGGACCTGGGTGTTTTGTTCCTTTTGTTTTTGTTCCTTTTTTTGCGGCTCAGGATTATATAATTTATATAATTCATCAATATCTTCTTCTGTTAATACTTTATTTTTGAAATCTTTCAACTGTTTAAGCTGTGATTTAGTTTTTCCCTTTATATATTCATTATTTTTAATTTTGTCTTTAATTTCAGAAATTATTTTATTATGATATTTCAAAATTTCATTTTTATAATATGGATAATAATATTCCATATCATCACCCGTTATATTATTATTATATTTTTGGAGATATGCTTTTAAATCATAATAATTAAGAAAATTTTGATTAAATACTAAATCATCAATTAAAATTTTTAAATCTGTGTTATTCATTTATATAAAAATAAAATCAATGTTTTAAGGGTGCCCACCTCTTTGAATCATAGTATCAAAACCATCATTAACGGTTCCTTTTGTCTCTTCTGTGGTATTTTATTAAATAAATGGCATACAACATCCATTTTCACAACATACAGCCTTAGTGTGTGCTCCTGTTAATGCAGTCTTACCGATTGTTAAGCGAGTCATTGACCCGTTTTTAAGTTGTAAATTAATATTCTGACCATCAAATATCAATTTATCATTTATTATATCCAAATAATTTTTAGGTGTTAATTGTTTATTTTGTCGTAAACTAACACCTTTCATTTTTTGTGCAATCTTTTTAAAATCACTTCCATCAATTGAACCGTTGAATGATGTATAACACTTAGGACATAAAGCAACCATGTTATCACCTTGTTTCTCAATTGCTAAACCCAATAATTTTTTCTCATGTGCTTTTTCTTCAGCTTTATTCTTTAATTTAGGTTTAAATTTCTCATCAAAACAGAAGAAATCAAAAGGTGCGAATTTGAAAATGTTTTTATCATAAAATTGTTTATCGGTTACAATCGCCTGAAATGCTTGAGTGTTAGGAAGACTTGGATCGCCAGCAATAGCCCAATAAGATGAATCAGTATCACCTTCAATGAAATGAAAACGATTAACATCCATGCATTTATACATAAAATCATAAATGAAAACCAAATACCAGTATTTTGCGTTATCTAAAGTGAAGAATGCCTCTTGTAAACATGTATCACATCTATAAAATCTATCTTTAAGCATCACTTGATATGTATCTTCACCTATTTCTCTTATGTTTTTAAACTTATTTGACATACATGCAACGCGTGCCTTCTGTGCATTCATTATTTTAGTCTTTGCGTAATTTTGTGTATTCATTGCATCGTAACCATATGATCCATTAAGTGAAATCTTGCAAAATAAACTTTTTCCTTTATTTCCTTCTAATTCAGCTTTTTGTCTTTCGTTCATAAATTTGTTCGCAAATTCATTAAAACAACTGTTTTTAGTAAATGTTAAAATTGATTGAATGTCATCAATGATAAAATGAAATCTGTCTATTAGATACCAAAGATAATAAGAAGAAAATGGTTGATATTGGTTGTGTGTTGATGCTAACTGAGTTAATTTTCTCTGTTTCTGGTCAACCGGTAAATTGTTTGATTTCATGTAATTATACATAAAACTGCCAATTGTTTTTTCATCTGTGATAATATCTAAGTTTCTTATTATCGGTAAAAAGTTTATGTAATCATTAATGTATTTTTCATCAATGTGACCCTTTACTTCAGCCACGAATAAAGTATTTTTCTTCTTAATTATTCCCAGTGCTTTTGCTTTCTTTGTTGCTGTATCACAAATGATAACACCATTCAATCTTCCCGGCATATACATTTTATGGTCAGTATATTGAATGAAATCATGAGGATTAGATGAAAATGATGAAGGATATAATGAATTAAAGTCAACTCCAACGAAATGAGTCATAATGTTGGTGGTGTCCTCATTTGATACAGTTTTAGTTTCTGGATTATATGAAAGTTTATTAATGTGCGTGATTCCTTTAAGATTAACACGATGTTGAACATTTGATAGACCACCAGTAATTCCATTACGGAGAATGTGATAAGCTTCAACTGAATCTAAAGTCATTGGTAAATTATTTTTTAATGCATAATTTCTTAAATTGATTCTTAAACGTTGAACATCTTCATCTTTATTTGATTTTACGACATTGCAATAACAACACATTAACTGACAATTTTCTTTGGTATGTGGTTTTTCATTATCGATTCTATCCAATGTTGGTTTATTTGCATATGTAAACGCTTTACCACACATTTTGCATTTAGATGAAAGGATTAAATCGTGATAGTATTGAATCATCCATTGAAACATTTTTTTAGTATCCCTTTCTGCTTTTTCATCTTGTTTCTTATATGATTCAATTTTATATTTCCAATACTTTTTTGTTAATTCAAAACTTGATTCATCTTCTTCTCAGGATATTTTCATTAGGATTAAAGTCTTTATATGCTAAGCGTAACGAATCATTGAAGCATTCGATGATAAAGAAAGATTATGAAGCATGTCAATTTTATAAACAAATGTTTCTTCGATAATTTTATCAATTGGGTCAATCATAATTTCAACGTCTTTATTGCAATAATGAATAAAATATTCTAATCTATTCTCAAAATTTTTAGCATCATTGAGATATATTTGATAATCTGAATCGGATATTGTTTCTTGTGTTAATGCTGAATAAAATGAATCTTGAGTGAATGGTTCCTTTTTATATAATTCTTCTTCGTAATTCTCCCATGTGATGAATTGATAAGGGAAAAAGGATTTAACACGTGATTTATTGTTTCCGAAATCTTGAGTGAATTGGTCTAATGTTCCACCCGCTATATAATTTCTGATGTCAATAAATCTTAATTCATATGGACAGTTTGTTTTCTTTACTATGACTTGCTTAAATTGAGAAGAAGAACCCAGCATTGATTTTATCTTCCATTTTGCAGTATTTAAATCACGAAGAATTAAATTTAAATCAAACTTTCCCGAATTAAAACCTATGATATTCACTTTATTAAATTCTTCATCTAAAAGTTCTTTAAATGCTTCCTTCTTTTTTCATTTAATGTATGAGACAAAGTCCCCGCCGTTTGGTCCGTTTGCGACTTCATTAATTCTTCATATTGTTCAATATTTGATTTAGCAACTAATGAACAGGTTGAAAATAAAAACTCAATCCAATCAGAAATAAAAGAATCACTCGAAGTTAAGCAAAAATTCCTCGTATATGTTTTATCGTTTAATTTAACCGTTGATGATACCATGAATGGTTTTAAGTAAGCATTCAAAGTTGCACACTCAGAAAGTTGTAATTCTTCTTTAGTCTCTAATGTTTCGAAGTCAAAAGTAATATAATATCTTGTCGTTTGATAATATTCCTGCAAATTATGAGCTAATAACCACTGATATATCTTCTGTTTCGTAATATGTGGTGCATATGGTTGCTGTGTCTTTTGCAATTGAACGTCTTGAATTAATCTTCCATTATTTTCTTTACATTTCTCACAATGCTTTAAAAATCTTCTTTGGTTTTTCCTTTCTGGATCATCACGGATAGAATAAACTTCTTCTTTGCAAGGGGCAAACTTTATAGCCGGTGAGTGCTTCAACGTCTGTTATTCTGTCAGCGTGAAGTTTTCCACATGGACTCTGTGTTAATAAAATATTTACTGTTTCAAATTCTGGATCTATCATTATTGATTCCACTAATGGAAAGTCTACCTTATTTAATGTCCACGTCTTCTGGTTGAGGATCACAATAATAGAAATCAATATTAACATTTAACATTCTCGCTAACCTCTCACTTCTGATGAAATGTCAAACCCTTCATATGATCTATTGCTTCATTTAAATAACTTCTACGAGTTTTAGGATTAACACCATCAGGAATGTTATAGAAGCGTTTAAATAACCTTCTACCTTCTGCTCTAATTTGATTATCATTCATTTTAGCTGTTCCGTTTTTGTTCATTTATGTAAGAATAAAAAAAATAAAATAATAAAGTTTATTTTTTAAAGTCCGTAAAATGAATTAAGAACACATAAATTTTTATCATCTGCGACGTGACGAATACATTTTAATTTACTCAAGAATGCGTACCCTGATACATTAAATCTAATTCCTGTCTTATTTAATTTCACAACTTTGAAAAGGAATGTATGAATAGCTATAAAATGATGAGAAGATGTTTTATGGGTTGCTTCCATTTTTTCTGAAATAAATGAATAAATATAATGTTTATAAGTTTTCATATCTTTTATGTTCTTAATAACGAATGGTATAGACCTTTCCACTTCGTCTTCCTTCGGTGCTGTTCTTTCATATGAAACATTATTAGTATCTTCAATAATGAAACCAATCACACAAAATTTTATATGTTCCAATGGTTTCTTTTGATATTTTATCTAATAAATCAAAAACTTTATCAACACCTGTGCATTTATTTAAATAATAATTTGTGTAAATATCATGATCTTCTTTCTTAATCGTATTAGTTGCATATGTCACGTTTTTCAGTGCTTTTTTGAATTTTCAGAATCGAGAGGGGTGAAAGTAAGATACAAGGGTATTCTTCTTATCAATAAATTGTAACTTATGTTTACGAATAAATTTAATACCTTCTTCCGAAAGTGTTTCATCTATTTCACCATCTAATAAATTTTGTGTTGATTCTAAGACATAATTTTTATATCTTTCTTCATGAGATTTCTGAACTTCTGATTCTGAAGCTGGGATATTCATTAAACCCTCTACTTCATTTTCATTATATTTTTCAACTTCTCTTAATTCCTTAATTTTTTCATCTATTTCATTTCTTAATTGTTCCAATTTCTCAATCTCATCGTTATAATATTCATCTTGTTTAATTTTTTCTTCAAAATATTCAGGAGGTGTTTCAAGGCTCTCTGAGCCCAGGTCCTCTGGACCATAAAGAGGAATATTCTCCTGTTTTTCAACTTTTTTGGGATATAAATATCTCATTATAGCCTTTTTAGTAATTGGCCCGTTATATTTAAATTCATTCAACAATCTGGAAAACTCTTTCACATTCTGCATATATGTTGGATAAGAACCGTCTCCAAAATTTTCTAAAATATTTTCTAATTCTGAATTAGTGAACTTTAAAGATTTCAATGAATTAGTTGTTATACTCATTTATTATAAAATAAAAAAATAAATTTAACTTAGTTTTAATTTTACGTAAGAAGTCAATTTTTTAAATCTTGATTTATTCAAAAACGTAAGAATAAAAACCGTAAGAATCATACATTTTTTACTTCATATGTTAAAAAAAATGATACAAAATCGTTCAATATTGTATGAATTCTTACGTTTACAAAAAAAGTCACACAACCCTTCAACATATACTACTAATATATAAACATGTTTATTTCGATGTTGTTAATATCTTTTCAACAGTTTGCTTTTGGGCCGTGATCACACGATTATCAAATGTAACATATCCGCATAGTTTCTTATTCTCTTTCTTTAGATTCTCAACTGTTTGCTTCAAGATCTCTATCTGTTTTGTTGTTGATTCAATGACACTGTTATTGGATTCGATTGTTGCTTTAAGTTCATTATTTTCCTTAATTAATGATTGATTTAATTCATCAAATTTAGTTGATTTACCCATCCATTCATCTCTAAGAGAAGTTACTTGAATAATTTCTATCTTCTGCTTCTCGCTCAAGGAAACACTTGAAGCGAGATCTTTTTCAAGAATTGCATTCTTCTTGGATAACTTTTCAATTTGAACTTCTAAGTCTGCAGTTTTCTTGGCTGTTGTTATATATTTCTTATTTTGTTGATCAAATGCTTCTTTAAATTTAGTAAGTTGTGCTTCCAAAGTTCCATTTTGTGTTAAAATAGTATCAACCTTCTTGGATAAAATTTCATTTTGACTCTTCAAAGACCGGTTTTCATTTAGGCAGTCATTGATAATTGTAACTTTCTTCTTGTAATAATTAATCTTCTGAGCTAGCTTTGCATTATCCTCTTTAGAATTTGCTACTTGTCTAACAGAACCTTCAATCTTCTTATTTAATTCGCTTATTAAAATATCCTTGTTTTTCAAATCTTGGTCTTTTAATTTGTTGACTCTATTTAATTCATGAATTGTGTTTTCGAGCTTTGACACTTGCTTTTGGGAAATATAGTATTTCTTCTTTAGTTCTTCAATTGTTTTTTCGTAGTTTATATTCTTTAATGTGTAATCAGTTATTTCAATTTCACGAGATTTTTGCTCTTTTCTCAAAGCATCTTCAATATTTTCAACGGGAAAATACGCTTTCGAATTCATCTTATAAATAGAATCTGTGAATTGTTCAAAGAAAATATATTGTGTTGAATTATCTGTTAGTAATAATTGCATTGCTAATAAAGCACTTGATATCTCTCTCTTACTATTTGATGATAATAATGAGATACACAATAATGAGGCAAATTTAGAATTAACTATTATTTGCTTGATTCTTGGAGTCCACCCGCCAATAAAGAGTGAGCAATCCATTAAGAAATGGAATAATGAAGCTGATAATGCAGAGTTTTCTTGGGTTATTCTTCTTTCAAATTCACTAAATATATATTCTTGATGATCTGTTAATAAAACGAGTAACTTATCTTTGATTCCGGGTGAATTTAGGAATAATCTCATGATATATAATAGTGACATATATGTTTCTGTTGATGTAATTGAAGGATCATATCTCATATAATTTTGTAATGCTGAATAAAAGATATCAAATGGATCTCTTAGCGCTGAGATATATTCTGGAACTGCATCAACAAGCTTATAAAGTAAACCGCAGTGAGCCAAAGAAACAAATCCTTCTTGAATATTAATTAATCTCATTATGAAAGTTCTTATTTCATCTTTTGTTAATTGCTCACAATATATAGGATTCATTTGAGTCAAAGCGTTTGCTGCTTCAGATGCATCAATACCGCATGATTTTCCAAGTGAAATAAACAATGCACAATAAAGAGCGCTGCTAATTCCATTGTCTTTTTCAATCTGTAGAATACTTTGTGATAACGATGCTAAAAACAGTTCTCTAGGATTATCTGATTCACAAAGCTTCTGTGCTGCAATGAAGGCTGTCTGAAAATCTTCTGTAATAGGTGATAAAGCTGTGGCTGCTGAGAATGCCGCTCCAATAATATTGCGATCTTCACTGATCAAAAGATCATTAATTAATCGTTTGAAAGGATTGAAGTTATGGTTCATACGTAAAAATGACATAAATTGTTGAGAATTTCTTGCAAAATTATTTGTCGTTATTAAAGCCCAATAGCGAATTTCTGGAACTTGTAGGCATACATATATATTTTTGAATAATGTATCGAATGTTGATCTGTTTGTGATAATTGGAATATTATTTATCGTTAAAAGAGAAATTAAGTGAAAGTATTCAGCATAAACTGCTTCTTTTTTGAGTGATTCTTCATTAAATAGCATACTAATTAAGAGGTCAAGATTTATTTCTTGACTTACTATCTTGGTAAGATGTGGTAATTTACAAAGTCGAATGAAAAACTTTAGTATTATTAATTCTATGCATTTTTCATCTTTTATTATTGTCTTAACCATTAATTTTGCTAAGTTTTTGATTAATCTTGCGAATTCAGGATCGTTATTTGCTAATACTAATGATTTTGTCGTAAAACTGAAGGATGAAATGAAATTATTTACTACATCATCAATAATTTCCTTTGAGTTCGGGTCTGCTCGTTCAATTATTTGGGAAATTGGTTCAAAAATCGATTCCATAAATATAAGTGTACGTTTAATTATTCTTGAGACTCAAAGAATATGAATTTTTAGATGATCTCAGTAGGAAAATGATGCTTTGCTACATTACTATATATTGGTATCATTTTGTATCTAAATAATATGCGTGAAATAATTTTTTTGGTATGAAATTTTAGTGTACGTTAAGCAAATGTATTCAAGTCCATTTCGAAGCCCCAGAAGAAGTAAAAGTCCAAGTACAACAACATTTTCATCATCTCCGAAGTTTACTAATAGTCCTTCTGTTGGAAGAGATCGATTTTCTCCATCACACCGTTCTCCAACTAGATCTTCATCATCTTCCTCGTCATCTCCACACTCACCTTTAAGTTCATCACCAAGATGTAGTAGTAGTAGTAGAAGACTTCCAAATGTAGAATCCAAAATTCTTTGTGCTCCAGATGTTTATTCGACCATACCAAATCAAGTTATTTCATACTCAGATTCAGGTGTTTTAGCTATAGCACTTGCAAATAAAGTATATTTATACTATGATGGAGATCAAAGAGGACTTTTTGAATCTTCTTCAATAATTGAAGGATTGTGCTGGTGGGACGACGACCTTGTAATTTCTTCTGGAGGTAAAATCGAAGTATGGCATACATCCAGAGAAAAATCGATTGTTAAATTTCAAAATCATCGTGCTATCGCAACGGCACTCGCTGCTTACAAAAATTACTTTGCCACAGGTGGAGATGATGGCATTATCTATGTTTATAAGCGTAATTGCTCACAATTTGTTAAAATATCTCTTCCAGGAGCAAAAGTTTGTGCAATTGCATGGTCAAAAGAAGGAGATAGTATGATCGTTGCTGATTCTAAGAAGAGAATATTAATTTATGACACTGAATTCGTTCAGATAGGATGCATTACACATGATGCTGCCGTAGTAGCTATAGCTACACTTCCTGGCAACTACCTGGTGACAGGAGATTTAAGCAAATATGGTGTGATGAGAATGTTTTCTATCAAAACTGGTACTGAAGTACGTTCTGTTTGCACAGGATCTCCAATATCTTCTATTGTATGGGATGATCATTGGGGCCTAATTGTAGCAAACGTCAATTCTCCATCAACATGGGAGATTTGGGAAAAAACTTTCCAAAGAATTGCAAAATTCCGCGGACATGATAAAGGGATTATATGTATGGCATATCATAGCCAATCGCAGCAGCTTGCTACAATTTCATGTGATGAAACTATCCAAATCAGCTCCTTAACTGAAAGTTACCATACATATGTATGTCCATTTAAACTCGATTCAACTTTTCGTTGAACTAATATACGACCAATATTCTTTATAATCTTATTATTATTTTGTTTGTAAATTAAAAGAAACCATAATCCATGAATGATTTTACAATATCACATGTAAGTGTTTGAAGATAAATTCGTATTAAAATTAATAGAACCATACAAAGCAATGTTTCAAATGATGCCAATGTTGAAACTATAGGAAATGATGGATAGTCAATTCTTCATGGTGCATCAAAAAGTAATAATAAAGAATAAGTAGAACTATTAATATCACACGGCATCATTGCTAATAATGCTAGAAAGTGAGGAGATACATAATATGGATGTATAATCTCAATAAAAGGAAAATAATAGATTTATTATTTGTATGAATTATTCTTGTCGCCATAAGCAAAAATTCAAGTATGGCTCAATTCAGAACTTTACTGTAGTGGTTTATAAGTGTGAGAGTATGAAAGGCTGAAACTTTCTTGTATGCTCAAGATATGAAACCTTATAACTGGTGTGAATATGAACATCTATGATATGATGGTTACGCATATACATGGTCCTCTTGATATCGTGAATAGAGAATCTTTCAAAGTTTGCATTGTTATATTCATAAGTTTTTTCAAGACTGAGAGAGCTAAGGAAAAATGTTCCTCATAAAAAAAGTTGAATTACACAAAGATTTACGATTGTACCATAAAATACATTACTTTTTTGATTTTGTGAGAAGATTTCTAAGATCTTCAATGCATTGAGCAGATAAATTCTTAACATCAATAGTAGTAGTTTCCTGAAGCTCAAAACCAGGTATATGAGTCTTTAAAATCCTGCACATTTCAGCCAAAACGGATACATCTGTTACTTCGTTAATTAGTCTTTGAATTTCTTGAACAAGAGGTGCTGGAGGTCCATGAACTGATTTAGATACTGGTATTTTAGCTGGAATTGGAGTGCTAACTTGTGGAGAGTATGCAGATAATGACATCGCTCTTTTTATTAAAGAGAACTTGTTGATATCCTTTTTGATGAGTTTTTGTAACTTTTCTGCTCTTGTTCTTGGAATTGAGCCAGCCTTTTTTTCAAAATATAATGATATATCTTCTAAAACTAACGTAGTGCGAACATCATTGACATATTTTTCTTGAGCACGATATAAAATTTCACGAACATCTATTGCAAAATCGAATGGACTTGCGTATTTTTTGTTTACAAGTCTATCTTGAATATCTTCCATTTTAATTGTTAAATTTGCTTCATGGCCGAACCTATATAGAAGTCTAGATGTTGGTCGCTTAGCAAATTTGTTAAATATCTCAATAACTTCATCGTAAATGAATGGATCCATTTTTAACTGAGAAATTGTCACTTTTTATCTCTAATTTATCTATTGGCACTTCATCATGCATTCTGCTGTAGATGAGTAGTTTCATATATCATACTTTCCTTTAAATGTCTCTATACATTAGAATCACCTCTTCATAGTCACCAATTTTTTTTCCGTAATATTTTAGAAACAAATTTGTGATTGTCAAAGGAAAGGCTTGATATAAAATATAAGATCGGAATTGAATTTTATTTCTGAGTTCATTTCGAAAGAAACTACATCCAACTTCATATCTTGAAGGAGAATGTAATTCCTAGCTATGATTTTAAAGTAGTATCACATCTCAACGAATAATTTTGATCAACATTTATATCAAACAAAAATTTTCAAATAAAATGCTTACCCCAGAATGATTAAAAATTAAATTAATTTTATATTTTTAATCAAATTGAAGAAATATAGCTTCTTATTTCATAACTTCCATAAGCTAAACAAGTGTTCCCATTAAAATCTTTTGCATCTTTATTAGCTCCAACAGAAATAAGATATTTGACAACATCAAGATAACTATTAATTGAGGCTTGAATGAGTGGAGTATAACCATCATTATTCTTTGCTTCTTTATCAGCTCCAATAGATATAAGGTATTTAACAACTTCAATATGGCCATTATAGCATGCCGAAATAAGTGGAGTCCTTCCATCATTTGTCTTTGCTTCTATATCAGCCCCAAGAAAGATAAGATATTTAACAACTTCAAGTTTGCCATATCTTGATGCCCAAATAAGTGGAGTAAATGTACTTCTACTACGTAATTCTTTATCACAACCATATTCAACAAGATATTTAACAAGTTTGAGATTGCCATTTTTAGATGCTTCATGAATAAGATAAAATCCATCTGGATTTTTCGTTTGGCTAAGTCTTTCTAATGCAATTGACGTCATAAATTTATTATCCTTTTCTGATAATTCATTTAAGAATTTATAAACACTTGAGAAATCATTTGCATCGCTTAGTTCAGAAACCTTTTGTAAAAATTCGTCTTGAATATTATAACGATAATGATTGCATTTGATAGGCCTTGTTCTCAATAAAGAATCATGGAAAGAATTAATAATAAAATGATAGTTATTTGTGTTACTTAATTTTTGAATTTCATCAATAATTTGTTTGCAACAAAATTCCAAATGAATATTCTCAATCAATTGATTAAAAATTTCGCTTTCTTTTGTGAGAGATATGACGAATTTTGCTAAGGAATCTTCATCAATAATTCTTAATTTATCACTCATGATTATTCTTTGAAGAATGTCAAGTCCGAGTTTTTTCGAAATTGATCTGAGTTTATCTTCATCAATTTCGAAGAAATGAGAAGTGATGAAATCTGCACATTCAAATATATTGTCTTCAGCAGAAAAAAAAAAAAAAAAAAAAAAAAAAAAAAAAAAAAAAAGGTAGTGGGGCTTCCAGGCACTTCGTGCCCTCTAGCCCCTAAGAAATTTTGTCACTTTTCAGGAAAAAACATTTTTATTATATATATAAAATGAATTTTACAAAACCACCGTTACCCTTCTTTGGAAATAAGAGTAGATGTAAAGATATTCTATTGAGAGAACTTAAGAAACTACCGAATGGTCTAACATTTGTAGATTTGTTCGGTGGAAGTTTCTATATATCCCATTTGTGCCATACTGTATTTCCTGACTCAAAGATTATATGCAATGACTTCGACAACTATATGAACCGTCTCAAACATATACCAGACACAAACAAAATATTGAAAGAGTTAAAAGAAAAGATACCTATAGGTAAGATGGAACGTATACCATTAGATAAGAAAAATACTGTCAGAGAGGTTTTGAAAAAGGCAGAGTATATTGACTGGATAGTATATCTCTAGACTATTATATAGTGGTGCTATAAGAGTTCATGACATTGAAACACTTATGTCAAAAGTTTTATATCTTAACTATACAAATGTTTTCAAAGAGAACATAGAAAAATATATTGAGGGTATAGAGTTTGTGAGATGTCATTGGACAGAGTTGTATGAAAAATATAAAGACAAGGAAAATGTTTTCTTTATAGTGGACCCGCCGTTCTATAACACATGGGATTTTCAATACCAAGTAGACTGGACTTTGAGAGACTCTTTAGAAACTTTAGACGTTTTACATAACCATCCATGCTTTTACTTTACATCCGATAAAAGTGGTTTGGAAAGTGTCATGAGATGGTTAGAGGACATACATGACTATGAGTTTATATATGACAAGATAGAATATGAGAGAGGTCTATAAACTGGAGAAAGTGTCATAACAAAGAAATTTTATTAGTAAGTAAATGTGGTTTGAAATAGGACTACTTGTTTTAGGTTTTTTCCATTGTGTCATTTATTTATTTGACGTGGCAGAAAAGTACAGAGAATATGAAGATGAACCAATGCCTGCAAATTTCAGTATATGTACTCGTAAGAGATATTTTTATCTAATATTAAATGGACGCACAGAACTTAGCGAATGCACAGCAACCTGGACAACCAAACCCAGAGAATATTCCAAATGAAGTTAGAATACAAACTGCAATGGCAAACTATGGTCAAGTGCCAACAGATGTACAAATGCAAACTGCCATGTCAAATGACGCTGCGTTAGGTTTGCCACCATGGTATGCAAATATGAGATGGAAAGAGTTTTATACAAACCCTGAAGTGGGATATAAACAACTTTATGCAGATGACGCGAACACAGGAGTTGACCCAGAATATGTTTTCTACCAGAGGAGAAACAGAATGTATGAGCTCCAGTTAAAGAATGCTATGGAACTCAACAGGAAACGTAAGAGACTAGGTGGACATTAGATTTTTACATATAGTAAATGGGTTTCTTCAGTAGTATTGGAAACTTCTTTCGAAATGTTGGAAGAGGTATATGGAATGGAATAAAAACCGTAGGAAGAGGAATTTGGAACGGAGTCAAAAATATTGGTAAAAGAGTAGGTCAGTTCGTTGGTATTATACCTAAAGACCCTGAACCAGAAGAACAAGCTCCTGTAATACAACAGCCTGAACCTGCACCACAGTCAAGTTGGCAACCAAATCCAACACCTCAACCGTATTAAAAAATTATATTTTTACCGTTCGATAGTAGTTGTATATGAAACTAAGTTCTAAGTAAAACACATGGTATAATGGAATTATTCTTTTTCTTCCATCTGTAGTAAACCATACTTGAAAGTCTGAAATACTTCCACTTGGTGGTTCATATAGCTTTGTAGGTTTTTCGTAAAAGTCATTTGCCAAGCATAAAAAAGAGTTTTGCGCACCAGAAAATGAAGCATGAACAATAATAGCATCTGGGTCGAAAATATTTTCATATGTTCCATTAGGGTTTTCGACTTCATAAAAGTCCGGGTGTACTGGATATTCTGCAGGCTGATTTAACATCCTCATAAATCTATACCATGCCAAGTTGTTATATTTTGTAGAAATATAAACGTTTTCTCCAAGGTCTTCTATTCTATTGATTTTAACAGTTGCATTTTTCCTGTCATATATAATATCGAGATGGTACTCTCTCTCGTCAATGTTGTACTGTTTTGCATATTCGAGATAGATATCGTTTATTTTTCTTGAAAACTTGAAGAGTTGTTTCTAAGTTTACAAGCAAACTAACTTGTAAAAGTTTTCCCTGTTCAAATTTCTCATACATACGTTTTTCTTTGTTATAGTATCGAATTTCAAAACCGACTGTAAATGGGAAACCATGTATGGCTTCTGAAATGAACTTCATTCTACGAAAGCCAATAGCTTTTGTGACGGATGGGTCTCTTAGCCATCTTAACGGGTAGTCAAAACGATAGCCTTCATGCTTTACGGTCTCTGTCTCAAACTTTTGACCGACATTCGTAAAAAGTTCATCTAATGGTTTAGTTGTAGCAACTCTTGAATTTTCTTTTTCTATTGGAAGCATATTTTATCTAGAATAAAAATGTCAAATGAAACAGCGTCTATGAGAGAAATACAACACAACCGACAACTCATTATACAAGCTCTAAATAAGAACACAACAAACTTTTCAAACTATTCTAAGATATCTGAGTCATTGAAAGAAGGAAACTTAAAACTGACGATAAACCCAATGACAGACGAGTTTCTGTTTCAAGACAGTAAGAACCATACTGTCTGTGTAAATCCAACAAAAGGAACTTTAAACGAGAAACCTATATCTGAACTTCTTTTGAAAGCAGATGTTGACAACAAAGCTGACAAAGAGTATGTCATTGAAAAAGTTCAAGAAGAACATGACAGAGCAGATGCAACATATGCAACGAAAGAACATACTCATCCTGAACTAGCGGACAAAACATATGTTGACAATAAAATGTCAAGTGAAGTGACAAGAGCTGAAAACGAATATTCTAAAAAGACTCATATACATACCATTGCAAATATTACAAACTTACAAGAAACCTTAAACAGGAAAAGTGACGTTGGACATACACATTCTATATCTGAAATAACAGACTTAAACGTTAGCCTTGAAAAGAAAGCTGACAAAACATATGTCAACAGTGAGTTAGAGGAGAAGGTAGATAGGGGTTGTATGGCTAGTGCGTTAGTGAAGAAGGCAGATAAGGAATATGTGGATGAAAAAGACAATGAAATTAAAGAAAGGGTTGAATGGTATAATGAACGGACATCGAAGATTTTAGAAGGTAAAGCCAATACAGGGTGGGTTTCAGGATGTTTAGACCTTAAAGCGGATAAGAACCATACACATACCATTGCAAATATTACAAACTTACAAGAAACCTTAAACAGGAAAAGTGACGTTGGACATACACACGATTTCTTCGCAACTGTTGCTATAGAAAGTATTGAAGGAACGGTTGAAGAAACTGGTGGGGATGCAATATATTGTAAACCTCCTAACTTTCCACAAGGTTTAACATCGGATGACGACATAACGACGATGAGAAACATTAGATGTAAAGATGTTTATGTCATGAAGGATGAACATAATACTAAATTCACTGCTCAAGATTTATATGACAAGAAAGCAGACAAAACAGAGCTTCAAACATTAAAGACAGAAATACTTCAAACATTATATCCTATAGGCTCTATTTATACGTCAATGAACTCTACCAGACCAGAAGTAGTACTTGGTCTCGGAACTTGGACTCAAATAGTCGACAGGTTTTTTGTATTGTGCAAACTCTTCAAAGGAAACAGGCGGAAGTAAAACGATTTCAGGTGAAAACCTACCTGCACACAGTCACTACGTAGATTTAAGTACATCTCAAGCAGGTTGGCATAAGCATAAATTTTGGGATTGGCACGCCTTGAAAAAGGTAAAGGATATGATGTTAAAGACGACGTTCAGTTTGCTATAAAATTGTTACTGGAGTGACACTCAGGGAGATGGAAACCATACACATCGCGTTACAGGATATACACAAACAACGGACAAAGTAAAGACTACATGCCACCTTACATGACAGTTTACGCATGGTATAGAATTGCTTAGTCGTCATTTTCAACTTCTTTAGCATATTCGTCAGGAGTTGTCTTTATATTTGTTAGGAACTGTCTTTGAAAAGTATACCACCTTGAACTTTGACAAGTTTGAAACGAGGTCTGACAATAGTAGTTTTTATCTTCTGCTTGCAGTGTGTACATTTTGCCATGTTTGCCTAAAACTTCATAATATTCTCTTGTATACTTTCTTCTATTTTTACGAACACGAACGTGAGTACCTGTCGAGTTCCCATGTTGTCATAGTCAATAGTATTTTCATATGGGTCGCGTTTAGGTATTTCTATTTTTACTTTGTCGCCTTTCTTAAGTTTGAAGCCTGGCATTCTTTCTTGTTTGTCTCTTTTGACTAAACTATTAAATATATAGTCTTTCTCTAAGTCGGGGTTGTTTTTCATTTCTTCG